TTGTAATCAAACCACTGTAAATCAAAGATGTCATTAAATATTGAGCAAAACGTAGACTAATGTGTTTGTCATGCTCAAATTCAGTCATGCCCTTTATAGTTTATATGATCCTTTGAAAGAGCAACTAACTGTGGCAAAACATATTAGGTAAAAAACAATACTTAATTCTCTAAACATAATTAATATAACCAACTAGCTCCTAATTTTGTGGTACTTTTCTTCTCCGTATGAGAAGATGTTCTAAGCTCGAAGACCTCGTCTCTTGTACATAAAAATAAATAAAAAAACATAATTTCTACCAATTCATCCCTAGTAGGCGAGTAACTCACTGAAATTCAAATGTATCTAAGTTAGGATGAGAAATGACTTAGCATTTGCGTTTTATTTATAAGGCCATAAATTTCCCATTTTTATTTTTCTTGGTGGATCAAGTAGGGCCACTTGCTTGGCCCAGTTCAATTAACAAAACAAACCGAAACCACAATCATGGCGACAACAAGGCCTGCTAAACCCCAATTTTCTAAAACCTCTCCTCCTCCTAAAACCCTAAACTCTCTCTGTTATATGAAACCTTCCCTTCACCCATTTTTCCCTGCAGCCACCAAAGTTCAAATAAAAAACTCTCAGTCCGTCAATGGCAACCAAATCCTTTCTCAAGGCCCCCCCCCACTCTTGTTCTTCCGCAATCCCTTTTTGGCTGCAACCCCTCCCAAAACCGCTGCTGCAAATACTCCCATCATTCAGTCCTTTCAATCTGCGCAGTCTTCCACTCAGAAGCCGCTCTTTGAACCCTCGGCTCTGTCAAGGTTCCTACACGAAGAACCGTCTAAGGTTGAAGGATTTGGGTTTGTTGGTGTGAGAAATGGACCCCTTTTGCCCGGAGACTCTAGCTTTGGTATACGGGTCAGGGCCGGGCCTGGCGGGTCCCGTGGCGACACTGGCGGGGAGGATGAGGATGAAACCGATGATTATGAGAAGACAGATTGGTTGAGCGATGATGATGATGATGATGATGATGATGATGGTGAGGAGTCTGATTGATAGGTTTTTCTATTTTTGGTTAATTAATTGGTTTCGGGTTGGATGGTTTCGATTATAAGGTATCGCCATTGTTAGCGATAGACTAATTTCAATAATTTAGTATTTGTTGAACAGTCTCTTGGCTTTCTGGGTTTTTTTTCCCTCCCTTTGTCATTGTTATGTTTTTGGTGGGTTTAGATCACTAAGTGAGTTGTTATTTGGACCATATTTCTTTTCACCAAATATAAATTTTGTATCACAGAAACAGAGAGAGTTGAGGGGAGAAACAAGTTTGTCTCTTGAAAATAGTTCAAAACTTGTTTTATGGAACAACAATTGAAATGAATTTTTGAGACCTTTATGCAACAGAAATTTGCAAATTACATTACAAATTCAGACATGTACAACAGAGTTTCGACAAATTGGGCAAGTTAGGTGGTTCTTTAACCAAGGATCAATGCAATTCGAATGAAACATGTGGTTGCATGCGAAAACACGGCAAGACTCGCCATCCACGAAATCATCCAAGCAAATAGTACACCGATCCCCGCAGCAACTCGATGTTATGTCAAGGCCGCCCTTGCAGTACTGCAAAGGTGGCGGGAGCGCCTCCAAGGCTTGAACTTGGAGGGCCGCAGCCTGAGGACGTTGCTCCGGCCCTTCCTCCGTCACCAAATCCTCCCAAACCCTATCTAGCACTTCCATCAACACCATGTGGAACAGGGCTACAATATCTTGTGCAGGTGCTTGTTGCAACGAATCTTGATCATGATGATGGGGAGATTGGTCGTCTCCAATTTCGTGATCGTTCTGGCTTCTGTTTGGAAACCAAGAAAATATGGTTCCAACAATGTGATGCATGAAGGCAATGAGAAATAAACCTGCAGTGCAGAGAGCTAAGTTGCCGATCCAAAATAGACGGCTGAGAGTGGTGAATTTTGTGTGGCCTAGTAGGAACAACAAAGCTACAATCCCAAGAGCAAAAATGCAAGACAAAAAGCTAAGAGGGCTGTGAGAAGATTGATGAAGAATGGTATTAGAAACCATGGTGTTCATGGTTGAAGAATGCTTTCATGAAAGCCCTGTGCAGCATTTTGGTTTCTTGTTTGGTTTATGCTCATCCATGGAAGTTGTTGTGCCAGAACTGCTAAAACCCCTCTGGGATTTTTTTGTTATGCAACTAATTAACATCAAGGTAGAGTAGGGCACACCATATAAACACAAATCTGCTTGGTCTGGATTCGTTCTAAAAATAGAGGCGCATTTTTGTTATTACCTGTTTTTTTAACCAACAAAGGGAACAACAAAAGTGAAGGTTTATTTTGTTAGTTATAGTATTGGCTTTGTAGTTGGGTACCCGTCAGTAACGGTGGGTACCTACATGCATGTTGTGAGAGGAGGTTATACTATAACGAACATTTTTATATTATAGAGGCTTTGTTTGATTTCTCAATTTTGTCGAAGACCTAATCGGTTACTTCCAATTATAGTTCAAATTCAAAGGTAGGATAGTGCTCAAAACTACCCTTTCGGGACGAAAATATTCTCCTTTTTTTTATTTATTTAGAAAAAGGTGTTCCCTTTATTACTTTAGGGAAAATGAAGCCCTTTTTTTTTTTTTTTTTAATATTTATAATTTTATTTTTAATTTTATAAAAATTGTTCGAATAGACGCTTTATTTAGTAGGGAGCACATAGAAACACATCATATACTAGTAATTGGATGGCCAAAAAGGTCCATCTCTAGTAAACTGCTGCTGTGAAGCATTGCTTGTTGTGTCTTTAGTTTAAAAAACAATAAGAAGCCATTTAATAAATAGGTTATATAGATATTTTAATGGGTTGATGGGTTGACCCAAAATCCACCCGTTTATTAAATGGATTATGGCAGGTTAACTTTAAAATGACTTGAATTTTTATCGTGCACCAGCTAATTTCCTGTGTGGGTTTTTAGTCGTGTAACGAGTCGTATTGGAAATTGCCAAGGACGTAGAAGAAAACTAGAGGAAACAAAAGACCTTGCCAGAAAGCAAGGGGGAGACAAAATCCAAGCACAGAGCTTGGAGGAAAATGTCTCCATCACGGGGGTAGAGAGGACCAGGACTCAAAAATTCCTTATTTTTTCCGATGGGATCCAGGGGTTGAAACCCCAGATCCGAGGATTTTTGTTTTTGAGGGTTTGTATTTCGGATCCTGGGGGTTTGTGGTAGGGATGTTAGGCAATAGTTTCCTATGGCAGAGATCCTGACGATATTTCACATTTCTCATGCTAAAGATCTTGAATAGACTCCGCGTCCCTTGTGAAACACACTCTTTTTTGAATGCCATGTCTTTGGTTCTTTCTTCTCAACTAAATAGACCACAATATGTTTAATTGCTTCCAATATCTGACGTATCCATGTATGATTTTAATCGTTGGGATAAAAGAGATTTGGACTTGTGACCTCTTTCAATATTGGAAAAAGAAATACCATTAATTCATGATCATTAATTCTCTTATTATATATGGTCAAATTTCACATTGCCATTCGAAATTCAAAATGACTCGCCTTTCACCCTTGACCAATGTTTTGAATCTCACTTTACCTCTCAATGTTAAGACCGTCAAAAGTGCTGACGCGACACTAATGGGCCCATTATTTTACTAAAATATACTATGTAAGTGTCATGTGTGCAACAACTATAATAATTTCTTTACAAAAATTTAAATACTAAAAATAATGGTTTAAATTAACCAAAAACAATGAAATTGAAAACAACTAGCCTATCTGCACGCGCTTCCGCGCATGCTATAGGCTTTTTTTTTGTAAGACCAGTGTCTTGGGGAAACAAGAACGGTGAGCAATCCCACATCGCTCGGGGAGGGAAAGTTGAAGTGCTTTAAATGTGTGGGCACTTCTCTTTCTAGCACGAGGCCTTTTGGGAGCTCACTGGCTTTAGAGTCATAGGAACTCCGAAATTAAGCGAGTTGGGGGCCAGAGCAATCCTATGATTTGCTTAGTAGAGAGTTTAGTTCTCATGAGAGTGCATATAAGTTTTATGTACAGTATGGTGATGAAAGAGGTTTTAGTGTGAGAAATTGGAGGAAAAACAGATTGGGTATTGTAACACAGATAACTTATTGTTGTTCAAAAGAAGGTCATCAAAGATATGACAAACTACATGAAAAAGTATCTTATTCTCAACCAATTTCAAGAGTGGGTTATGAAGCACATATGACATGCTTACTTAAAAAAAAAAGGGAGTTGCCCCAAGGGGGGTGGATTGTAAGACCCGTGTCTTGGGGAAACAAGAACGGTAAGCAATCCCACATCGCTCGGGGAGGGAAAGGTGAAGTGCTTTAAATGTGTGGGCACTTCTCTTCCTAGCACGAGGCCTTTTGGGAGCTCATTGACTTCGGAGTCATAGGAACTCCGAAGTTAAGCGAGTTGGGGGCCAGAGCAATCCTAGGATGGGTGACCCACTGGAAAGTTGCTCGTGAGCTCCCAGAAACAAAACCGTGAGGGCAGAGAGGGGGGCCCAAAGCGGACAATATCGTGCTAGGGGAGTCGGGTCGTGACATTTTTAAAAAAATTAAAAATTAATTTTAGAATTAAAAAAGATAATGGGTAGTTGTGTTCCATAAAAATAGGATCCATTATCTGATTTTTCTTTTCATTTTAATTTTTTTAAATATGACTCTTAGGTGAGACCTTTCATTTTTTGGCGCCATGTAGGAGCTATGAAATGGGCCAAATGATCAAATAAAGCCTAAAATCTGAAAAAAGAGAATTTGATGCGATATTTTCTTCAACCTGGTATTATGATGGCGGTGTCCTACTTTTCCTTTGAGGAAAATCATTGAATTAATTTAAGAAAAAAACTACCTCCTCTTAACCTTGTTTGCGTTGTTGGATTCGTTGGAATTAAACTAAATAATGAAAATTTTGGCATTAAAAAAAATGATGAAAACAATTAAATAAATAAGTTAATTCATGTGATGGAAATGGAACGAAAAAACCATAGGTTCATAAATAATTAAAATTCACGATAATGGGAAAAAGGTTTCCTCATAAGCCTCATTCAAATTTTCTTATTCAACTGTGTTCAATATCTCATCAGTCTTGTCCTGCAAGACTGCCACCACTGTTGAAATTTGAAATCCACGTAGTGGTGTATTCGGAGACAAAACTTCTCAACTTGTCGGCTTTGAGAGCAAATCCTTCTACTTTTGTTTGGCATTTGAAATCACGGGTTGACATAGGAGCACGACCAGAAAATAAGATGTTGGGTGATGCCCAATTCAGAAGTTCTTCTCCACAAAAATCACCTTTCTCAAGATACTTGGTGATCATCGATGAACCCGTTGTTCCAGTATCAGAATTCATGTCGGGGGACAGAATTTTGCCTTCTACAATGATGAGCATCAAATCAAGTGGTTCTCCTGCTCGAACAACATAGCTATCCTCTGTGTAGGTCACTGGCGTGAGTGCGTAGCAAATATTTCTGAACACGTCTTCAGGCATTTTTTCAAGCATGGGTACCTACATATTGCATATATTATTTGGTCCATATATAAGAAGAAAATTTATAATATATGTACTACGTACGTAGTACTTGCCCTGTTTTCTAGTAAAATCAAAATTTATAGAGGGATGTTTAGGAACATACTTTGTTTAGCGTACTAATGCAGAGATGCTGGCGTAAAGTAATTGCGATACCGAAGGGTATACTATTTGAGAGATACTCCACGTCCACAGCAGCATCAAAGTTTTGATCCAGAATTTTATTTAATTTTAGGTGCATCATGATTTTGGTCTTCAAATCCTCAAGGGGACAATGTCTTGACAGCCACTCTTGTACATATTTCTCCTTAATCACTATCTTCACCTTCTTTTTTAATTCCTCATCCTCAATGTCGTCCACTTTTGTAGCTCCCAACTGCATATATATATGTTGGTTCACAAAAGAAGAAGAAAGTTCATCAAATCCTTCACGGTATGGCAATCATTATATAAGTTTGTATTTGTGTCTAATGTCATCAGAAACTATATATATATATATATGTTGGTTCACAAAAGAAGAAGAAAGTTCATCAAATCCTTCACGGTATGGCAATCATTATATAAGTTTGTATTTGTGTCTAATGTCATCAGAAACGTCAATGCCATAAACATGTCAAAAATAAAATTTAAATTAAACAGAAGAATCACATACTTAATTGAATTCAAAAAAATGAGCTCTTTCATAATTATTTTAGCGATTTATCAAGAAAATATAATAGTGCACGAGAAGAACAAGTAAACATGTAATGCATGATCATGGGAAAGTAAATGGTCTTGAGACTCATTTATGTATTCACCAAATTATGAAATTGAAGATGTTTGAAGAAGTACTCCAAGAAAATTAATTGGAGAGAAAAAAAAAGAAGCTTTTTTTGGGGCTTATTAATAATTCAAACTCAAACCTCGTTCAGTATCTTATCGATGTTGTCGGGGCGAAACGCAGGCTCCTCCAACTGCTGTGAATTGTTACAATAGTTGAAATTTGAAATCCACTCTGAGCTGTATTCCGAGATGAAACTTCTCAACTTATCGGCCGTGAGAGCAAAGCCTTCTACTTTTGTTTGGCATTTGACATCATGGGTTGACATAGGAGCACGACCAGAAAATAAGATGTTGGGTGATGCCCAACTCAGAAGTTCTTCTCCACAAAAATCACCTTTCTCCAGATCATTGGTGATCATCGACGAACCTGTTGTACCAGAATCAAAAGTCATGTCGGTCCGCCGAATTTTCCCTTCTACAATGATGAGCATTAAATCAAGTTCTTCTCCTGCTCGAGCAATGTAGCTATCCTCTGTGTAGATCATTGGCTTCAACTCGTAGCAAATATTTCTGAACACATTTTCAGGCATTTTTTCAAGCATGGGTACCTATAGATTGCATAAATTAATTGGTCAATATAAGAAGAAGATTTATAATATATATTCCGTATAGGTTTGTTGAAAAGCTTCATTAACGTACTACTTGCCTTCTGTTCTAGTAAAATCAATACTTATAGGGAGGTTTAGGAACATACTTTCTTTAGCGTACTAATGCAGAGATGCTGGCGTATAGAAATTGCAATTCCGAAGGGTAGATGATTAGAGAAATACACCACATCCACATTAGCATCAATGTTTTGTTCCACCAGGTTATTTATTTTTAAGTGCATTGTAATTTTTGTCTTCAAATCCTCGTTGAGGCCATTTCTTGACACCCACTCACGTATTTCTTTCTCCTTGATCATTATCTTTATCTTCTGTCTCAATTCCTCATCCTCAATCTCCTGCAATTTTGTAGTTCCCAACTGCATATATGTTGGTTTCACAAAAGAAGATGAAACTTAGGTCATCAAATCCTTAATTCAATGTTTGACCATCATCAGAAACATTCATGAGATAAACATATTTCACTAAATAATCAATCATATCAATAAACGTGATCGAAGCTGAAGAAAATTTAGTAGAAATGACGTTGTCTCAAAGCGTCTGTACGTCGTGCAAAGAGAGGCCATGTATATAGTAAAGTATGTTTGTATTCAGTATTATGTACCTAATTGAATGACCAAAATAAAAATCTAACCTAACACCTGAGTTTAATTAAAAACAATCTTATTTATTGGCCATATAGTTTTCTAAATTCAAAATGCACTCTAGCATAGGTGTTTCTCTCCAACAAAGAGGTTCTAGACGTCCTAAGTTCCTCCCTTAAATTAAAAACAATAATAATAATTAATGGGGAAAAAATATATTGGGATTAAGATTTTTTTTTCTTGAACCTCATTCAGTATCTTATCAACGTTGTCGTGGCCAGGTGTCTGCCCCTCCAACTGCTGTGAATTGCTATAATTGTTGAAATTTGAAATCCACTCTGAGCTGTATTCCGAGACGAAAGTTCTCAACTTATCGGCTGTGAGAGCAAAGCCTTCTACTTTTGTTTGGCATTTGACATCATGGGTTAACATAGGAGCATGACCAGAAAATAAGATGTCGGGTGATGCCCAACTCAGAAGTTCTTCTCCACAAAAATCACCTCTCTCAAGATACTTCGTGTCGGCACATATGGCTGTGCCTTCTGTAATGATGAGCATCAAATCAAGTTGCTCTCTTGCTCGAATAACATAGCTATCCTCTGTGTAGGTCACTGGCTTGAGTTCATAGCAAATATTTCTGAACACGTCTTCAGGCATTTTTTCTAGCATGGGCACCTGTAAATATTTCATGCATTAATTGGCAATAAGAAGAAGATTTATGATATGTTCTGAAAAGCTTGTCAAGGCTTGGCCACTTAACGTGCTTTGCCTTTTTCTTTTTCTAGTAAAATTAAGATTTTACAGAGAAGTTGAGGAACATACTTTCTTTAGTGTACTAATGCACAGATGCTGGCGTATAGAAATTGCCATACCGAAGGGTATATTATTAGAGAGATACTTTACATCCACATCCGCATGAGCATCAATGTTTTGATCCAAAATTTTGTTTATTATTATGTGCCTTATGATTTCTGTCTTCAAATCCTCGTCTAGACCATTTCTTGACATCCACTCAAGTATGTCTCTCTCCTTCATCATTGTCTTCATCTTCTGTCTTAACTCCTCATCCTCAACCATTTCCAATTTCGTTGTTTTCAACTGCCTATGTGTCTGTTTCACAAAAGAAGATGAGCATCATAATCGTATAATGTGATATAAGTGCATGAAAATTTAAGAATAAATTGTCTTAGCCTAGCTTTCGTGTTAAACCTCGTTTAGTTTCTGCAGATAAGTCTTCTCCTGAGGAGGTGCAATGTAGTACTTAGTCCACCGGTCTCGTAGTTCAGAGAGCATATTTTGCATTTTCTCAGCCTTGAGAGCAAGAGCTTCTACTTTTTCCTGACATATGACATCTTGGGTCGAGATTGGAAGGTCGGAAAGATGGCTGCTAGGTGATGCCCAGCTCAGAAGTTCTTCTCCATAAAGATCACCTTTCACAAGACATAACTGGTTGATCATATACGAACCCGCTGTTACGGCCTTGCTAGTCGTATTGGGCCATATAATTACCCCTTCTATAATGAAAAGCATCGAGTTAAGGGGTTCTCTTGCTCGAATAACGTAATCATTCTTGCTGTAGATCACTGGCTCCAGATATTTGCAGATAACTTTCAACGAGGATTCTGGCATATTTTTAAGCATGGGTACCTATATATTTCCTTACATTATTAATTGGTCAATAAGAACAAGATACATTGCATATACTAGCTAGGTTCTTTTTTTCAGTCAACTATTAGCTATAGATAATGTATATAAACGAGCAGGGAAAAAAATTTAAGAACTTACTTTCTTAAGTACATCCATGCCGACATAGACCTTTATTGCTTCTTTTACATCTCGAGGAAGAATAGAGAATACAAAACCCACATCCACATCAACATCTATATTTTTCTCTACCGCGCTAATTTTTGTTATATTTTTCATTATTTTAGTCTTGATATTCTCGGGGAGACCATTTCTTGCCACCCACTTAAGTATTTCTTTGTCTTTCAAGACCTTCAAGTTCTGTAGTCTTAAATTCTCCTCCCATAATTGCATATATGTCTGTTTCATAAAAGAAGAAGAAGCTTAGTATGAGCATCATACTATTGCATAGTTTGTATGTGTGTCTGGTCTCATTAGGCCACAGACACATGCAGTATTGAAATCCCAAACTCGAGATATGCAAAAGCACTTTTATTGGCAGGAAGTGAAGAATAACATATGAAAAAGAAGAACTGAGAAAAAGTAATTTAATCTGGAAAAAGGATCTCATGAAAAAAAAATAACAAAAATGTCAGTAATATATCGAGATATATATAGGCTATAGCTATACCTGTTCAGTCTTGTTGTGGTGACTTCGTGCCAATTCCAACTCCGTCAATTGCGGATAATTAATGTCACAATTGTACAAACTGCTATTCCAGGCAGGCCTGTATTTCGAGACTACAGCTTTCAACGCCTTGGCCTTGAGAGAAAAGGCTTCTACTTTTGTTTGACACTTGACATTTTGTGTCGAGCTAGGAACTTCAAGGTCAAAAGAGTTTGCCGGTGATGCCCAATGCAGAAGGTCTTTTCCAAAATAGTCACCTTTCCCAAGAGTGCTATCAGAGGCATTGTCGACTGACATGGTGCCTTTTATGATGAAGAGCATGAAATCTATTGATTTTCCCCTTTGAAAAACGTTGCTATTATCAAGGTATAAGATCTTTGGTTTCAGATGCTCGCAGATCGTTTTCAACACTTCTACATTCATATCTTGAAGCACTGGTACCTATATTTATAAGTAACATACACATTATTTGATTAATATTAGGGCAAGATTTATTATGTTTACAAATATGGCTATCAATGTGACAAGCCCAACGGTCTCACATACTCTCACATCACTCAATAAGAATTGTACACCTATGAGGTGATAAAGACGGCACACAAATATACATGTATATAGATCTTCTTCCATTACCAATTGGTTTTCAGTTGGATGCTCACATACGTTCTAATACACTCACACATATTATATAGAGCTTTTAGAGGAAGTTGAAGTTAAAAACGTACTTTCTTTAGCGCATTCATGCCCACATGTTGCTTTATAGAACTTTCAGTGGTCCGTGGAAGATCAATGGAGAATAGATACTTCACATCCACCTCGGCGTCAATGTTTTTCTCCACTACGTTATTTTCATTTATGATATGGATGATGTCTTTCTTCAAATCCGAAGGGAGACCATGTTCTGACACCCAATCGTCTATACTATCTTTTGTGGTCTTAATCCTCTTTCTTAAGTCGTCCTCCCTTTGCTCCTCCGCTTTTGAGGCTGCCCACTGCATATATGTCTGTTTCACAAAAGAAGAAGAAAATGTTGATGATCAGTTCATCAAGTCTATATGAGCATCAAAATATATCATAGTCTGTACATGTCTTGATCCATCAACGTTGGGTCATTTTAAACTAAAGACCCGCGTAATTGGATAAGAGCCCTGCATGTGCATCTTAAACATCTTAAATTAATTATGAACATATAAATAGATTATTAATTCGTCACCAACCTGCAAGTTTCCTATGAGATATAAAAAGAGTAGCAAGCCAGTAACAGCAATAAGAATTGCAAAGCAGTTTTCCCACACGTAGCTACTCGTTTCGAGACTCGTCCCAAAATTACTGCAAAATTAATTCTTACATGAGAGACAAGATAATGGCATATAATAAAGCTAATTATACATGAACCTTTGTTCTTAATTATAGTAAGAAAACCTAGGTCCTGTGTGCATCATAGATAACTGATAATAGCTAATGAGATAGAACTTCGTGATTTAATTATATTCATTTATACGAACCTTAGATTTCTGATTCCCCACCAGAAAGAATAAAAGAATTTTCTTGGAAAATTTACTGATTCTGTGTTACCAGATTGAAGGGCATCAAGGAAAATTCCAAAATCAAATAGCGTAGGATCTGATGGATTTATAGGGCAAAATTCATTTAGGAATGTGATATTTCTTGAAGTACTATCATTGCAATAATAATGGGAAGCTACGCATTCTTCCGTATTTCTACATGCTTGGTACCAACATGTTGTCTCTCGCTGAATAGAAAAAAAGTACCAAAAAGCTCCAATCACCTAAAATATTAACAAATTATTATTAATAATTGGAACAACTCTATGGAGGTATATATTAAAAAAATAACAACAATCAAAGTAACTCCACTCAACAAAAATAAATAAATCGTAATATACTAATGAAAAATGGAGATGAAACTTACATGACTCGCAAGGATGTATAGGAAAAAATTGAATGCACCTTTAATCCATCTTTCGTTCTTTTGAAGTTTTTCACTCGATAGGTGAAGTCGGTAAACGTTTGGCACATATTGAAAGAGAAGAAGGGCGTTCAAAATATTTCTTTCGTGTAAATACCCAGAGTTCTTCATTCTGAAAAACGCAACTACTATTGCCAACTGGACAAACGACAATAGCTAGGTTAGATTAACACCTACTTAAGTGTTCGCAATAATACTAAAGACGCTAGAGCTGTTCCGAAATTTTTGTCACACCAAATAATGTACAAGGCTAATTTGTTATAAGAAATTTGATCACATCCATAACATAATGATCGATGTCTATACATTCTTTTTTGTGTGATTGTGATTTTCCCCCTCTGATAATGTTGATTTAAAAATCACCGTCAACAATACTTTTTTTTATGAGATAAAAGTTTAGGGGAAGATTGGCTACTCTCACCACCAACGCCAGGTTAAACCCACAACTGTCAACAGTACTTAAACAATAAGAAACTTGAACATTTTGGAACAACATAATAAAAATTAAACGTATTTTCTCATACCTGTGGGATGGGAAGAATGGCAAGAAAGTCAACCATGATAGGGACACATAAGAACGACCTCCATTTCCATCCTCTAGATGACTCATCGCTTCCTTCGGCTGGTGCGTCGGAGTCAGCAAGTTTGGTTCGAATTTGATGTATAATACGCACAACGAAAATGATGTCTGTAAGTGACCGTAAAACAAGAGCTGCAGTCCTTAACTTTCTGTCCATTCCAACGCACTTGTTTTTCTCATTGATAATTGGAATATAAAGGAAGAGAGGATCCAAGGAGACCGCGACCACACATGAAATTACGAATACATTGTTCCACAACTCAAGGGTACGTCCCTCTGGGGCAAGAATCACGTTGACTGCTGCTGTGGACCATTTTGTTGGACGGCCTTGCCTCTCGATATCAAAATCATAACTTGGTTTATCCCTGAGAGAAATAAAGAATCAGAACACTGAAGAAGAAGTAAGCTACTTACTGTTACTCTCTATCAATCAGCACACCTTTGTCTGTGTATATGTAGTTTCCTTCTATATTGAGGGACCTCAAATAAGACACCCTTCAGGGTCCCTTACAATTTTTGTAAACAATCCAAACCATCTAATTTTCAAGTCTTCATTCATAGATATCTAGTTGATGCCACAAATTAGATGAACATGGTAAATGGAAAATTAAGTAAATTGAAAATTATTAAGGCATCTAGTTGACGCCAACAAATTAGATGAACACGGTGCTTCAAGAAAAGACTAAAAAAACAACTATCTTTGAGCGGTAAAATGATTTTTTTTTGCAAAGATAATCTTTGAGGGAATATCTAAAAACTAAACGGTTCGGATCATTGAAAGACAATGCATGGTGGGATCTACAAGGGTGTCCCTCAAATAAAACTTATATATATAGAGCTTTCATTGAGGGACACCCTTTGTAGGGCCCACTCTGAATTGTATTTCACTAATCCAAACCGTCTATTTTGTAGATACTCATTCAAAGATCATTTCTACAAAAATCACTTGAATCCGATATCATTTGACCACTCAATTGAGTTATTGAAATTTTAGTATTTTCTTGAAGCACCGTGTTCATTGATTTTGTAGGACACAATTGGATGTCGAAACGATTTCCGATTTATCTAATTTTTTGTATGATCTATGAATGAAGACCTAAAAAATAGATTGTTTGGATCATTGGAAAAATAAATTATAGAGTACCTTAAAGGGCGTCCCTCAAATAAATTATTTGAGAGATCCCTCAATAGAAGGGGACTATATATATATATATATATTACCTTATAGGATGTTTATTTTACAATTGGACCTTCAAATTACTTCATATATGTGTCTGAATTTTTCTTTTCAAATTGCATTTGGTTCATGGGAAAAGAGGCTTGGGGATGAGAAATTAATCAATTGTTTTCCCATATTTAGTAAGTTCATGCATGGGAAATGGTTGCTTAGGATATGAAACGGGAATAACACTGGTTTGCTATCTCCGGCCAATAATACTATAACACGTGGAAAAGTTATTCCACATGTTACTGTGTTATTGGTAGGGGATAGCAAAAAGTGATATCCCTGTTGCATGAAAGTGTTTCTCATTCTCATGGGAAACTTTGGGAAAATGGGCCAGCATTAAATGCACATTTTTCACGATCATTTTGTCTCTACTAAGAGTATCCACAATCATGCTCTCTATTTTTTAGCTAAATTTGAGCTAAAAACATATAAAAGTTATTTTAAGAGCTCTCTATAAAATTTAAACTCCAATCATGCTCTCTAGTTTAGGGAGTCATAAATGCTATAACTCTTTTTTAATTGGTCAATATCTATTAAAAAACAATATAAAAAATAGTTAGCATTTACTAAAGGTTTGAAATACTCGTTAAATAAAGCAGTATTAAATTATAGGGAGTCACTAGGAGTCCTTTCTTTCTCCTCAGATTTAGGAGCTCCTAGAGGTCTCTTTATTTTAAGAGGTGGATAGGGAGCATGGTTAGAGTTGTATTTTTCCAATTCCTCCCTAAAATTTGTCTAAGGATGTGGTTTAGGGAGTCCATTGTGAATGCTCTAACAATTTAGAATTACAATATATGTAGCATTAAATGCATCCTTTTTTTAATATATATGTTTGATTTCATATGGGTATAATTGAAAAATTAAACAAACCTTGTTTTACATTCCTACACAAACCAAACATGGAAAATGACATAAAATGATATTTCCTAGTTACTTTCTCAGCATTACTAGACATGAGAAATGAATCTTCCAATTCTCATCCCTTGAAAAAAGACATGGGAAATTATTTCCCATCAAATCTTTTCCTCAAACCAAATGGGCCTACGTTCAAACTAGATGGTAGATATGTTCAAATTTAAATACAATATTGATTCTAGTGATCTTTTCAGCCTATGTCCATGTAAGCATACATATTACATATATGTAGGGGTGATGACCAGGCCAGGTGGACGGAGATTTGGAGGACCAGGGGCGGGGGTGTGGTGGGGAATGGATCGAATTGGGTGTGGCTTGGGGAGTTGAGGTCTTGGGGTATGGGGCTGGGTGGAGGTGGGTTGCTGTTGAGGATAAAGAGAGATGAGTGGTGGTGGCCGTTGGTGGTGTCTTTTGGTTTTTAATTTTCAAAAAATTTAATCATTTTTTTTTATTTATTTTTATACAAGCAATACTGATATTTTTATTTGGTTCATTGTCACTTAGTCATTTCTAATTAACCAAAAAAAAGAAGAATATTCATGTTTGCAATCATATTTAAAGAGGGCTCTCTCAAAAAAGAGTTTTTAAATTATTTAAAGGAATATATCACATTAATAATTCTAAACTCAATTATCAAATTGACTAAATTAAAAATATAGGGACGAAATTGGCTAACACGACAAAACACCACAATCATTTTAGTATTTTTATGATTAACACATTATTCCTTCAAAAAAAAATTGATTAACACATTATTTAAGCAAGGAGCTTGTAGAATCCGAAGTCCTAAGTTCAATTTCTCCATCCTCAAATATCGCTTGTATATATATCAAATATAAAAAATGCCGTTGACAAATTTTCAAGAGGGAAGAAAGAGCAAGATACGAATGGGTTTATGACCCCACTGATTTTAATGGGGTATTTTGGTGCTAGCTCACCCAGATATTGGTACGGAGCATTTGCCATATAACTAGCTAGATGTATAGCAAAATTATCATGTTCACAGCATATCACTGTCAACATAAGTATGCCAGATTCTGGTAAACAAACCATTAAAATATATAAACGATATAAAGAGATTAAGAGATTAACCTTAAGGGAACGCTTTCCTCTAAGTCTGACATATATATTATATGAGATTGCTACCGCGAAATTCTTCAATCCAATACCAAAGTCTTCGCTGGTCCTGAAAAGAATGAGATTTGTGTAGAGATATTTAGTTATATACTTATTCTTAGCACTAATAATATAAATAAACCCTACACCATTTAATTTCTATAAACAAACCCACAAAAAAAAAATGACAACTGGCCCTATTGAATTTAATTTTGATACCCTATTGAGTGTTTTGGGCTTTTTTATGAGGTTTTGGGGTTGGGTTTGTTTTAAGAAATCAATGGCAGTTTTGTAATTTAAAAGAAGTTAAAAAAGTCTTTTTGTTATGTTGTAAATGGGTTTTGGTTGTGTTTCTAAAGTCCATTTCATACAGGGATATTTTATAATTTGGACTCCTATATTATGTATAATAGGTGCCCACATCATGGTTTAGGAGGAATGGCTCCTGATACATCAGGAGCCAAGCATTGTTCTTCCATAAAACCGAAAACCTCACCCAAAACAGGGGAGACCACATAGTTACAAAATAAAGCAACCCAGTAAGGAAGCTCAAAGGAACCAACTAAACTGTATAATAACACATGAACAAGAACAACGAGATTGTCCCAAATGGTGAAAATCGACAGTTAAACGAAAATGAAAATTACAAAACTAAATGCAATAAAAAAACCGTACAAAGCAAAATTGAAAAAAACAACTGAAAAACAGAACCACACCACAGATCTGCCACCATAGCCAGTGTCTCTCAAAACAGCCTAAAGGCAAAGAAATTGGAACCATGGAACAGTGTCACGCCCCGGACCTGGGGTAGGTGGAAATCCCGCGCCCGGTGCGTGAGTAAAAAAAAAAAAAAAAAGAAATACAAAGAAGGGTTTAAAATAAACTTATGTTATAAAAATAGTTTCAAAAATCTTACAACTTTACAATTAATAAATAAAGCTCTATCACTCTCATCTAATTCAGCTTCAACTGGTTTAGTCCTTGTCTTGCCCACTAATATATCTGAAAAATTAAACAGGGTGAGGGGTGAGCAACCACCGCTCAGTAGGGACATGAGACCTTATTACAGTAGATTGATATAACTAAATTAAGTGACATGCAATCACATAGCCAAATATCACATTAATAATGGTAATGCATGAATGAATGTTCTTCATCTAATCCCGTTAATTCATATAACTGAACAAGCAGACCTGCACGTCCCATACCATGCTTATACCACTTGGTCCCGAATGCCCATTTATATGAACTAACACCCATTTCAATCATCCCACAATTCCCCTTTTGTTAGTCATCTTGTCTAACTCCCTGTCGCCAGTCCCGAATCACCCAATAAAAACCATGTGCACTGTAGGATCCCTGAGACCTGGTACCTACCGAGAGTTAGACTCAACTACACAAAAGACTATTTCCATTACCCTATTTTCCATCAACCCAAGAATTCCAACCATCACTGATAACATATGATTATGTCAATATTAATAAAATAATATATTTAATTAACAACACTTAAACACCCAATGTCAATAATAATCAAATGATAATATCATGCATAATATAGTGTTCACGAAATTTAATTAACACAATCTCTGTAAAGGCTCCCCAAGAAATCCCTACCTCGATTCCAAGGCATTGCTCCAAGTTAAGAAAATACAAGCTAGTCCTATATCTCTTCCAAGAATTTCATCACTTAACTCTCTCTCTCTCTCTCTCTCTCATTTTTTCTTTGTTTTCATTTGTTGTGCAACTTAACATCCTATATATATGCAAGGAACAAGTCGGTAGTAAGTCATTTCCTATTGGAGGGTGTATTGGCGGTTGATATAAACTTACTGTCCAAGTGATAGTTATTAATATAGTTGCAGATAAGGAAGAATGCCTTTGCGTGACTTCCAATTCCTCTAATCCTATTCTTATCTTCTTGGTGAGTTGGCTAGCCTTACTACTTCAAAGGTTTCTACTTTGACACGTAATAACAAGAACTATTTATATATATCAGTCCCGTTCTCTTGGACCCCTGTAGTCCAAGGAGTTCGTGGTCACTCACCCTTGGAAATAATCTAAGGGTGTAGAAAAACTGATTTAAAAATTCATATAAATATTTATATTATTTTACTTACCCAAAATATATTTTCTGAAAAAAGAAAAAAAGAAAAAGAAAAAGAAGAACACGTTTCTTCTTTGTTCTGTCGCTCATGAACATCCATGATTGTTCACAGCCTCCTCCATCCAAAGGGTGACCAACCCATCATTAAACATCCATGATTACTCAGAACTAGAGCCCAAATCAACAACACTTTTGCAGTTGAAGATCAACAAGTCTTGATCTTGGGCGGTCTCTGAGGCCGTATCTCTCGTACCCAAATCGATAAATTGATTGCTGAGTTCATCTTTTGATGATTGTCAGAAGAGAAAGCTGTAAAACCATGAGATTTATTCCCATCGATGAAAACAAAGGACAATCAACCTTGAACACTGCTGCACGCCGTTGCAATCAAACCCAGAAGAAAACTACAACAGTAGAAGAAAATCTATTGTGGTTTACTATCTGTAACCGAGGAAAATAGTATCTGAAAACTAAAGATGAATATGTATGAGAGTTTCGTGGATGTTCAATGACACGTTGGTCACACTTTTTGGAATCGGCGATGCTAGGTTGTGTAATTGAAGCCGCACCTCCCTCCACTACGATGGCAGAATCTGAGGAGGAGGGCAACGACTACAAGCTTCTTGAGCGACAGAACAAAAAAGCAAGAGGTGTATTCTTTTTTTCTTTTTTTATTTTCAGAAAACGTGTTTTGGGTAAGTTAAAATAATATAAATATTTATATGGTTTTTTAAATTAATTTTTTCAACACCTTTAGATTAGATCCAAGGGTGAGTGACCACAAACTCCTTGGACCACAAGGGTCTAGGAGAACAGGATATATATATATATAGTTTATAATAAAAACCTAGCTTGTAAGTTGGCAATCCTCTTCGGTTCTCCATATAGTTTTCACCTCTCCTTTGTGAGAGCTTTTCATCTTTCCTTTGTAAAAGTTTTATTTATATTGTTATGGCTTAGTTATTTTTTAAGATTTATCTCTTTTTGATTATTCTGAGTTTGCGATCTTAGTTGGGATGCCTATGCCAGAGTTTTTTCAATCCTGCGTGATTGTTAGTGGAAGCACACCAAATTGTCTTCATTTTGATATTAGATCGCTCCGTTATTTTAATGGCCCTTTGTGACAAGTTTGTATTGGCCCTTGGTGGCTTAACTTTTTTGGCTAAATTATGAATGTAATTTCAGAATTTCTATAAATAAAAAAAATTAAAAATAAAGTTGGCAACCCAATCAACTTGAATTTAGTACTACCAATTGACGAATCAAAAATATTTGAAAGATAAAAATTTAATTAACCTCGAAACATATTATGAAAGAATGCATTGCATTTGATCCCTATAAAATGAGAGAAATATAGAAAGACATAAATTATCTGAGGGATTTTTGTAAAAATGTCACATGAACTTATACTTTAGTTTCAATTTGTTACCTTAAAGAAAAATTTAAGAGAAATGTCACCTTAATTTTTCAAAATCCATGATTTGTCATCTGACTTTAACACCATCCAATTTTCCATTCATTTTAAGGGTCTTTAGTCTTTTCATTTTTAAGGAAAAAAAGAGAGAAAAAAGAGACCTCTCTCTCCCTTTCTCCCCCTCCCCAACCCCACCCGCCCCCAAAACACATCGCATAGGACCCTCTCTCTCTCTATACTAAAAAGAAAAAATAAGAAGAAAAAGGTGGACTAGGTTTGGGTGGGCTAAGGGAATTTGTGTGTGGAGGGTAGGTGTTCCATGGTAGAGAGAGAGAAGGAGGAAGGGGAAGAGGGAAGGGGGAATGGAAGAAGAGGATGTGAAGAGGGAATGGAGAATGAATTTCAAGGTGGGTGGGGTTGGTTGGAGCTGTTGGTGGTGCACTTGGGATGGAGGAAAGTGAATTTTTTTTTAAATACAGTTTTTTAATAATGATTTTTTCATTTTTAAAATACTCATGAAAATGGAAAGACTGAAATTCTCTTTAAAATGGATGGAAAATTGGATGATGTTAAAGTCATATGACAAATCATGAATTTTGAAAAATTAAGGTGACATTTCAATTAAATTTTTCTTTAAGGTGACAAATTAAAAATGAGGTATAAGTTCAGGTGACATTTCTACAAAAATCCCATTATCTGACTGCAAGTTCTTTTATCCTTTTTTTTTCTTTTTCCAAGGGTCCTCTTTCTTTTATCGAATAAATCACTTTCGGTTTTGATTTCCTTAATTTTAAGGTTACCATGTTCTCAATCCCGATTGAAGAGAAATTATAGAATACTATGGTAGTATGGCCACGTAATACATCTTGTACACATTTTATAATATGGGTGGACAATAGGGTTTATTCTCGCCCTTTTTAGAGAATAATATGACTAAATATCCACTCCCCCTCCC